TTTTTGAAAATTTTGAATTTTTTCAAAGTTCTCTCAACCCGACTCCTTCCTGAAAGCTTGTCTAGAGCACCTGGTCTCTGCAGTACCGTGTCCAGGACACACGCTGTCTCTGCTTGACTCGGTCTTGCAGAATGCCGTCTCTCTGTCACCGTCGTTGACAGTCCATCTCTGCAAAGAACGCGTAAGACAGAGACGGAATCCGACAGACCGGGAGAGACAGAGAACGTGTGAGACACTCAACGAGACGGACAGACCGGGTAAGGCTAGACAATGCTAGGATTTGACTAAGATAATCTGTGATTAGGTTAGTCTAGGGTAGTTGTAGGCAAGGCAACGATTACGCCGAGAACGAGTCCAAAAGAGACCAAGTGAGGCACACAGTCCGGCAGTCAGGGAGGGCGAGAGAGTCCTCAACAGACCGAGCGAGGCACAGACCGCCGCAGTCCGAGATCGAGTGTTTCAGAGTTCGTATGAGGTAGGGAAACATTTGGAAAAAACTCAAATTTTTGGAAATTTTCGAAAAATCAAAAAATGCTGCAAATTGTCGAAAAAGCGCATAAAACCAAAAAATTTTGAAGATGAAACTTTTCAAATTCTTTTCTTTTGTGCACTTTTTGGCAAATTTCCAGCATATTTCGATTTTTAGTAAACTTATAAAAACATTCAAAAGTTTTCAAAATTTGGTTTTGTTTTTGTATTTGGTGCTTGTGCTGGTGGACGTGGTAGTGTTGGGCGTGTTGGTGGACGAGGTGGCAGATGTCGAGGTCTTTGTGTTATCCATGTTCGTGCTGGTCATGATAGTCATGGTCGTCGTCTAGGAGTTCGTGGTTAGTGGTCATGTTGGACGTTTTGTTGGTGTTCGTTGTCGTGCTGCTGGTGGTGTTGGGAGCCATGGTCACGGTTATAGTTATAGTTGTGGTATCGGTCAGGGTGGTGGTCGTCAAGGTCGTCCTTATTGTCTTGGGTACGGTTGTAAGTATCATGGTTTTGCGGTCTTGCTCGTCGTGTTGGTTGTAGTGGTGGATGTGTTGGTGAACGTGTTGCTGATGGACGTTGTGGTGGTTAACGTGGTGTTGGTGGACGCGGAGGTCAACATGGTGGTGGCAAAGGTTATGCTGTTGGACTTCAGTGTTGGTAGACGTGGTGGTTGTGGTCGTGAAGGAGGTGGACTTGGTAGTAATGGGGTGGTAGTGGTGTTCGGCATGGTAGCAGTGGTGATGGTGGTACATGTGGTGGATGAGGTGGTGGTGTTGGACATTGTGGTGGTGGTGGTGGATGTGGAGTTGGTTGAAGTAGTGGTGTTTTTGAAAATTTTGAATTTTTTCAAAGTTCTCTCAACCCGACTCCTTCCTGAAAGCTTGTCTAGAGCACCTGGTCTCTGCAGTACCGTGTCCAGGACACACGCTGTCTCTGCTTGACTCGGTCTTGCAGAATGCCGTCTCTCTGTCACCGTCGTTGACAGTCCATCTCTGCAAAGAACGCGTAAGACAGAGACGGAATCCGACAGACCGGGAGAGACAGAGAACGTGTGAGACACTCAACGAGACGGACAGACCGGGTAAGGCTAGACAATGCTAGGATTTGACTAAGATAATCTGTGATTAGGTTAGTCTAGGGTAGTTGTAGGCAAGGCAACGATTACGCCGAGAACGAGTCCAAAAGAGACCAAGTGAGGCACACAGTCCGGCAGTCAGGGAGGGCGAGAGAGTCCTCAACAGACCGAGCGAGGCACAGACCGCCGCAGTCCGAGATCGAGTGTTTCAGAGTTCGTATGAGGTAGGGAAACATTTGGAAAAAACTCAAATTTTTGGAAATTTTCGAAAAATCAAAAAATGCTGCAAATTGTCGAAAAAGCGCATAAAACCAAAAAATTTTGAAGATGAAACTTTTCAAATTCTTTTCTTTTGTGCACTTTTTGGCAAATTTCCAGCATATTTCGATTTTTAGTAAACTTATAAAAACATTCAAAAGTTTTCAAAATTTGGTTTTGTTTTTGTATTTGGTGCTTGTGCTGGTGGACGTGGTAGTGTTGGGCGTGTTGGTGGACGAGGTGGCAGATGTCGAGGTCTTTGTGTTATCCATGTTCGTGCTGGTCATGATAGTCATGGTCGTCGTCTAGGAGTTCGTGGTTAGTGGTCATGTTGGACGTTTTGTTGGTGTTCGTTGTCGTGCTGCTGGTGGTGTTGGGAGCCATGGTCACGGTTATAGTTATAGTTGTGGTATCGGTCAGGGTGGTGGTCGTCAAGGTCGTCCTTATTGTCTTGGGTACGGTTGTAAGTATCATGGTTTTGCGGTCTTGCTCGTCGTGTTGGTTGTAGTGGTGGATGTGTTGGTGAACGTGTTGCTGATGGACGTTGTGGTGGTTAACGTGGTGTTGGTGGACGCGGAGGTCAACATGGTGGTGGCAAAGGTTATGCTGTTGGACTTCAGTGTTGGTAGACGTGGTGGTTGTGGTCGTGAAGGAGGTGGACTTGGTAGTAATGGGGTGGTAGTGGTGTTCGGCATGGTAGCAGTGGTGATGGTGGTAAATGTGGTGGATGAGGTGGTGGTGTTGGACATTGTGGTGGTGGTGGTGGATGTGGAGTTGGTTGAAGTAGTGGTGAATGTGGTATTGACATCGTGGTTGTGTTGGTGGTGGACTTGGTGCTATTGGTGGATGTGGCAGTGTTGGTGATCTTGGTTGTGGTAAAGGTGCTGGATATGGTTTCTGTAGTCGACTAGGTGTTGCAGGTGGTGGACGTTGTGGTCGTGATGGTGGTGTTTGAATGTGGTGGAGTTAGTAGTAGTGGTGGTGGCCATGAAAGAGGATATAAGCTATCCTGCTACTTGACATGCAGGTGCTCAGGGAGAGAGGGTATAGCTACTCATTCTGAACTTTGGCATTAGGTAGGGGTATGGGGGCAGCATCATGCTCTAGCTGCACTTTACACCCATGGAAAGACACCCTGGTACCCACTGGACAGGAGGGTGGATTGGGCTCAGGGGCTAGAGGAAGAACCCTCTGCCTCTGCCAGGTATCAATCCCTGATTGTCCAGCCGTCAGTCACTATACTGACTGAGCTACCCCAGCTCTTCATTATCTGCATATACCCCGTCTATGTTACATTTATGTCTCTCTTTATCTCTGTCTGCCTCCTTGTCTCCTTATTTGTAAACCTACCTTCTCCACTTGACCATAGCTTCACAGCACCCTACTCTATCTGTACAGAAACAAATAAACAAGCAAGAAAAACAAACAAACAGGCAGACAGACACAGACACACACCTCACCTAATCTCATCTAACCATAACATAACAAAACAAAACATTACTCTATCCCAACTCAACGAAATTTACCACCTGACTATTACATGTGTTTTTCTGCATACATGTATAACTCATCAAACCTAACCTAACCTAGCCCAACTCAACCCAATTTACCCCTTTAGCAACTGACCATTATGTATGGTTGTCTGCACCTGCCTGTCTCCAACCCTAGTCACCAAAATTTATTCCTTACCCTACTCATCATGATGCATGGTCCTCCGTGCATGAACTTCACTACACTAAATTAACCTAAGCTAACCCAGCCTGGCCCAATGCAATCAAATTTATGCACCTAGCAACTGACCACTGTGTGTGGACTTTTGCACATAAAGTACTTTTAATTACCTTTTCCATCTGCAACATCAATGACTTTGCTTGTGTCTAAATGTATCCGTCCTTTATATACATAGGTGTTCCTCTTCAGAATGTCCTACAAATAGGAAAAATGGAAGCAAATTTACATAACAGACTTCCTGTACTTTCTGTTTGTTTTTTGTTTTTTGTTTCAAATATAAAATATGCTAGTATTTCCCCATAAAACAAACTCTACTAGTGTTACAAGGTACCTGAGTTACAGTTGAAAGATATTAAAATCACACAACAAAAAGATTACATGTTACTGAAGATGCACATTTATAGTTTTAATGCACGTACGTTTTCCTAATATTTACATCCGACACAAGAAAATTGTAAATTTCATTGCAGAAATAGTATTTATTTACTTAACACTTTGATTTGTATGGTATCCTGCATTTTTTCTGGATTATAAGAAATGAGATTTGTTATATTTTTAGAATATCATTAAGTAAAGGTAAAGAAAGTTATCCCTGTCCTATTTTAAATGTCATACCATGAAGCCAAATGGGAAATGGGGGTAAAACTTCACAAATTTGACTAAAGTAAGTACTGTCAGCCCACATGCTTTTATTTTATAACCATTAAATATGTAAATATGTGGATGCTAAAGTTTAGAAAATTTATAATTGTCAAAGGGATTTCTGTCCAAAGACCGGAAGCAATTAAATAGAATAGTTATAACGTGAGATATGAAGTCTTAATTCTTTTACTAACTTCTGATATCAAAATTTAACACTTTGAACTCTATCAAAGTCATATTCTGTAAGTATACATTGGTTTCAAGCACCAAGTGCTGTAATAATACATTGCTAATTATAAAATTTGTGTAGAACTAATTATTTATTCATTTATTATTTTGAATAGTTGACGTTATCATGTACGGAATTCTTTGTAGTTAACTTTAGATCCAACAGATGTCACATACTTTGCATTTACACATCCTTTTACCACACTTCATTTGTACAGCTGTGATGTTAAAATAAAACACTTATCCCTTATGATTTCTGTTTTGTGACTAGGCATGCTGGAGCCATAACAATGATCTGATCTGATCACAACAGATGGACCAAGATCTGAACAGTGTTGCCCATGGAGGTATAATATGAAAGCAATCCAAAATACTTGAATGCAGTCATATTACTGACAATATGAAAGGTTTTGTCTCTGGGCTAGACGCAGAAATAAGACTTGGCTTCAGAAAGTGAGATCAAGTTAAAAAAATCAAGAAAATCACATAGTTATTCCAAAAAAAGCAGATAATTCTGTCACACGAAATAACCTCTCATAATTTTAAAGTAGCACACAAAAGGACAGATCAGTATCAGTATCATCATGAACATTTGAAAAAGACAGTGACTAAGAATTATTGTAGAAAAATGTTGATAACAAAACTTGCTATCACTGCAACCCCAGGGATATCATGATTATCATCCACCAATAATAATGTGTCTCCGCTTTAAGTATTTCAGGCCTTTGTGATGAACTAGGTTCCTCACAAATATTGAATATTTCCTCCAAAACAGAATAGTGCTACAACTCAATAGATTTAGCTGTGAATGATTTTCACTTACCTTCTTACAGTAAACTAGTTGGTGGTCGAAGAGGAAAAGTGTGATGTTATTGGTCCACATGCCAGTTGTCACCCTAACAACCTCTCCTTGATGAATCAACTGTGAACTATTTTCAATTAAGTCTTCACCCTGCAAGAGATGTAGTATACCAAATATAACATTTCATATAAATGTGTATTTTTAAAGTGGTCATATAATGGTACATGGTTTTGAAACCTGTAAAGCTATGAATGTTACATGAACAGATCTGGGAACTGGCAACTTTTTCATAATCATAATCATCCTGTACTGATTTCAGTGTGTCTGAATCATTTTAAAAAATGACTATAAAAGTACTATTAAATATGCATTTTCTTTCATGCAGGATGACATTACACAATATAGTCTTTTTGGGATACTGTAATTTCCCAAAGTGCGTTCTAAATATTCTGAGCTGTATGAAACTCATACAGATAGTTTCAGCAGTTACTGATGGACAAAACATTTTATGCTCATTTATATTACCTTTGCTTTAAGTTTTATACTGATTTCTTTACTGTAAGAAAGAGAGAAGCATATAGTTTCTGTCTTTCCTTGTATAATATGATTTTAACCAATTTGTCCATTTTCATGATTAGTTCACACAGTCACCAACCTATCAAAATTCTATAGACCATATAAAATAAACAAAATCCTGAGTCAGTAAAGATAAGTGAAACCAGCAGCCTACAGGAAGATTAATTAGGTACTAGCACACAGAAGTGGCACCCATTATTGGTAATCTAAGAGAAGTACTATCTTCATCACACTATTTCAAACTGATATAAATTTAACAAAAGTTTTCAGTATCAAAATTTCTCTGTTTACTTTGTGACACTATGACTGCAGCAAGCTATGATAGGATACTTTACTTTATTTCTTTCAACTGGAAGTTATACACAGAATCCAACTGAAATTAGTTCTACTGAATGACAAAAGGTAGCAGTCTTAAAACCAAGGATATATAAATGTAAATGTAGCTGAAGTAAATTTAGAAAATTCATGTGTACTTGCCAAATAATTAAGAACTACGGTAAATGCCTGCTGTCATTAACAACATTTTTATACCCTCATCAGAATCACTGAGAGGATTCTGGATGGTAGGAAAATGATCAGTGACTTACCTCCCAGGCTTCCACCCTCTGCTGCCAGGCAGCCAGCTTTTCTAGGCTCTCCATTCTTCGTTTCCGTTCATTAATGAGAACAGCAACATTGCGCATCGCATCTAGTGCCTCTCGGATTTTGTCATAGTCTGCGTGGTCAGCCTGAAATCAACCAGTTTGTTTATTTCAAAACAGATATCACATTTCAATGTTTAACAGCTGGTAAAATAATTTTCATTACATTTATATTAATGGTTTAAAAGTATACAAACATTATGCAAAAACAAACAAAAATGAGGATATCTGCTGTATATTATTGCTTCTATGAATTACATAATAGGTCCGTTGTGCATTAACATAAATTCTGAAATGGTTACTATCTTGCACAGAAATGTGAAAGAAGTGACAGTCAAGAAAAAGTGTACCATCTATGGTTAACAAATATCAATTCTAAATTAACTTCAGACATCCTTAATATTAAACTAAAAAACAAGTCATAATCAGTTTTATAATGCAATTCTTAGTGTCCTTTTGAATATTTGTTTCTTAAATACTGTCAGACTATCTGTATATATAGACCCTTGTTAGTGGCAACCAGCCCGACTTCTTTAGGGGAAATTCTGATTTCAGCAGAATTTCAAATTCTCGTGGCAGTAAGAACAAAGATGGTTGTCTTCTGGATTGTAGCATCATGCAGCCTGGTAGAAGTTTACTACTGTTTTAGAGGTCCTTAATCATCACCCTGATGATGGTAGCAGCAAGGACCTCTGAAACATTGGTAAACTTCAACCAGACTACACAGCACTACAACCCAGAACAGCCATCATTTATTTTGATTTCAGATTTCTACAATACAGATTTACTTCCAACAACTCCTTCAAGCTACAGAACAGAATCTAACAAATGTTTTTTACATAATGTATATTTTCACACCTTTGTGTACTTGAGCAGCTCAGCCAGCTGAAGAGGATACTTGCAGATGCGCTGGACTGGTGTGAGCAGGTAGCCATCAAGAGGAATCTCAATAAGCCCACGCATGAGGCGGCAAGCCTCAAAGAATTTACTGTAACTGTTGTGCTGATACAATTCTTGTAGAGTTGCAGTTCCCATTGGATGACTGTTGCAGTACTCTGAATAAATCCTAAAACCAGCTCGCTGAAATTGTATGCAAGGAGCTGGTTAATCTCTACTTTGAATGTGTAGCAGTCAGTTACTACTATTACAAAAAGGCAAATAATTCTCTGTTGCTTATGAAATTTCTCAAGACAAAATATTTGCATTATAGCACATTAAATATTAGTGGAACAAGTGATAATATTAAGTATGACATAGCTTTGTTTTGTATGATTATTTCATGTGATACTTTTGTTAGTGAATTAATCTATCTTATATATATTTCCGGTTTAACAATGTTTATATATTTTTCCGGTACCCTATCAAGTGCCTGAGCACTGTGGGTCCAAACTTTTTCGTTGGCTTGATCTATGGACATTCAGTAGGACTCCTTGGACGAGAGATCGACCCTTCGCAAGGCCTCTACCTGTACACAGGACAGCACAACACAGAAAAACGCGGACAAACATCCATGGCTTAAGTGGGATTCGAACCCACGGTCCCAGCGACCAAGCGGCAGAAGGCCCACGCCTCAGACCGCGCGGCCACCGCGGACCCCATTAATTAATCTATCTTTATGAATATAAAAACATACTGTCAAAAGTTTAAACAAACAAATTTACCTCTTCAGTTTAAATTCAATTAATGTTTGCCTGTTTCAAGATACTATCATAACATTCCTCTGAAGGTTCTAGAAATAATGAAAAACTAGTGTACCTGCTGAATACCAGTCAGAATCATTACCACTTGAGCTAACCTGATTAACCACAGTTACAACAATCTGTTTCATTAATTCTATATTCTCTGCCACACCTCTATAAATGGATACTGTAAAAGTCAAGCAAACTCACATGAGTAAGGAAGCATTCTCCTATACAACTCCGATGTGGTGCATCCCACTCAACACAACTCTCCAAATCCTGCAGGAATGTGGACTGAAATTGTAGAAGTTCTTCTAAGTTGCCAAAAATTGTATCAATCTGCTGAGACGAGAACATGTCTGTCCGTCTCCGACATTCAGCCAAGTAACCCTATAAGGAAAACAAGACTTATTATTATGTTTGAAGAATTTACAGTTTACTTGTAAGCACTATAACCTTACACATTCTTTGCTGCCCTGAAAAAAACAGTAACATTCCAGCATCAATCTTTCGTAGAAGAAAGTAGAAAATCACATAGCAACCATGCAAAATATTTTTGTCTCATGATGATGACTGAAGAAACAATGTAATTTTACTTTTGAAATTCTATGTTTATATGGTAATATAAAAACATTTTTTTCACACTAATGGTATAAACTTATGTAATCTAACTCTCTAGAACCCTAAAATGCACAACACTTAATGGTGAATGTTCTGTTACTTGATAAGTAACATAAAACTTCTTCATTTGGTACTTTGTTTAGTCATTATATGAGGAAATGAATTACCTCAGCAACATCACGAAGAATCTTTACAAAGTCACGTTCTGTGTTGATGAGTTCACGCACCACACTGGAGCGCACCTGATCATTACTTAGAAGAGACACGCTAGTTCGTCGTCTTATCTGAGAGTTTGGAGTTGAGCCTGAGGCCATAGCAGCCAAACAGTCTTCTACTGTGTCTTCCTGACTTACCCGCAACTGTCGAGACAAATTTCATGTCAATTATGCATCGTAACTTTAATATTAACTTGATATCTCATTTTATTGTATTATTTATTATTTTTATTACTGAATTACAATACAAATATTAGGTCTCCAGTTTTGCTGATGACCAGATAATCATGGCAAACAAGGACAATCTACAGTGACCTGTGTACAAATCAAAAGAAATATAAAAAACACTGTTAAGGAAATCACAAGTATTATATTTTAAAAGAAACACTGCACATAAGCTAACATTATGATCATTAAACAAATAATTAAACAGATAGTAATTTCAATTAATTTCAATTTCTTCATATGGACCGGAGAGCCATAGAAGAATAATAATAATAATTTCAATTATCTACAATGCAAGAAAGACGTTGATATTATGGTAATATTAAATCACACGGCTTCTGAATAAGATTGGAACAATAAGAAAAACATTTGTATAAAAGTTTCTGACAAAAGAGTATGTATTATTAATCTGCGGCATTTCTGGACAATTTCCTTCACCTATTAATTAGATACAGTGTTTTGGAAGCTGGTTCTTCTTAAATCAACAGCTGAAACCATACAACCTAATCAGTTGGGTCCATCGGAAAAGATATCTCAATCCCACAAATTCATGACATAGAGGTTTATTCATTATTTTATTTCAGATATTGAGATATTGGTGATTTCTGCAATTACACACCTGTAATTTTATACAGCCAATGATGCTCAACCTTCTCAAATTCTTATAACATTTATCTGAAGGATCAAGGGTTGATCGATATATGCAACCTATTAACTCCTATGACATTCCATTGGTTGTTAAAAA